GCCCTCTGTCTACACTACCGCCAAAGGAACTTCTTTTCAGCATTCAAGCTTCTTCATTAGAAAGGGAATACCAACCTGTTGTGCAATAAAAAATCACCTCGATTGCACCTCTGGTAAGTCGTTTGACATGTTTTTATCGAGGATGTACTATATGCAGGGCACTGTTTAGATGCCTCAAAAGAACAAGAAAGACGTGATCCTGACCTGTCATTCTCTGGGGGAGACTGATAAAAAACAAGGAAATAATTATGTAAAATGATTGCAGACAGTAGGAAATGCTAAGAAGGAAAGAAACACAGTGCTACGAGAGGGACTAACAGGGAAGACCTGCTTAGATAGAGAGATCTGGGACTGTCTCTTTTTGGAGAGATATTTAAGGTGAAACCTAAAGGATGATAAGAAGCTAACCACGTGAAGAGAAAGGGAATAGCATCCAGGTAGAGGGAACAGCAAGCACAGAGGCTCTGGGGTGGGACAAAAGTGTGGCGCCTTCGAGCAGCTGCCTCTTGGTGGGAGAGTGGCCTGAGATGAGGTTGCAGAGATCACCCAGTTGTGGTTGTGTACTCTTTCGTGGTTTTTCTAGCCAAATCTAGTCACCCAGAGGGGTTTTATGTAAAAATAGAGTATACAATAAATACTTTTCCAAAACCTGCCTTTTTTCATATAAAATATCTTGTCCTTTATTTCAAACTAGTTCATTTAACACTCCCTCAATATTTTTAACAATTACATAGTATTCCACTATAGAGCTGTACCATTATATACTGATCCATTTTTTTTCTTTTGAGGACCCTTTCAGAGGCACACTTAAAACCCATCAGTGACCTGCCCGTGGGCCTCAGAATAGAGTCTGAGCTCTATAATTTGTGAGGAGGTATAGGTAATCTTTATGAAGCACTGCTGTTAGCCACACTTTCTTCTAAGCATCTTACATTTTGACCTCATTCAATCCTCACAACTCTATGAAGCCCAATTTTAGTGAAAAAGAACCCACGGTATAGAGATATGAGTTGCTTGCCAAAGAGCGCACAGTTTGAGAGGGAGGTGGGATGTGAACCAGGAAAGTTGACTCCGTGGCTCACTGTCTTCAGAGCTTGACAGACCTGAGTTTGAATATGGATTTTCCCTATTTTTTAGATGTAGGATTTTGGCAATTTCTTTAGGCTCTCTGAATCTTATTTTCCTCATCTATAAAATGGGGATAATACTTAGCTTATAGGATTGCTTCGACATTAGTGACATCATGTAGGTCATGTGTCATATTAGTTGAGGTCAATGTGACATTCAAGGCCCTTAACTGATCAAATGCATGAAACGACCCAGGGCTGGATTTTGTACATAGTGAATCCTCAACTGGTAGTTCCCTTGCCTTTCAAACCTACCTTTCCCCAATGTCTTCTTCCAAGCCTCCTCCATGCATCTTCTGACACACCCTACTCCCAAATGCCCCCAAAGTGCAGTGGAGAACGTGCTCTGAACATGCCCTAAGATATAATACTTCCATCTGTGCGTAAAGGCCTCACCAAACCTTGTCCCCTGTCACATGGGAAGCTGACCTTGGCTTACACTCTTCAATTCTGTTCCCTTGGAAACTTGATAACTGCAAGATGTCACCTGTGTTGCTAGACAACATGGCTATGGCAAAAGTGAACCCTAGTTGGTAAATAGCATCTGGACTGGGAAGAAGCATAAATGAACTATAAACATCCGATGGAGACACCATGTTTTGGGCTTCCCTGAGTGTGAGTGCATGGCCCTTGCAGGAACCCTGGGACTGTCAGTGGACATGGGGAATCCGTGGGGCTGGAGGATTCTAAGACAAGGAGGACCCACACCCACACAAGTGGATCTCATCTCCTTGCCCCTGGCAAGCTCCTCGCTGATGGCTGTTTGGATACTGTGAAGAATGTGTGACATGGCTTTGTTGGCAAGCTGCCCACATCCTCGGAGTAGACAGATGCTAACTGTGCCTATGGCAGCCTTGTGAGTGTGAATAGGAAAACTAAGACAGCCTCCTGGGGTATGCATCATCTATGTGCCTTTGCTTATACCATTCCTTGGTCCTAGTATAACCTGTACGCAAGAACTTCCGGTTCCTTGACATCCATCTTGACTGGGCCCTGCTCCAGAACCTTTCTATCCTGCAGTGACTGAAATCTGCCTCCTCTGGACCTTTCCAGCACTGTTAGTACCTTACCCATGTTTTGCTTTGTGTTATAATGCCTTGCATCCACAACAAAAAATGTTAACAATATTAACATTGGCATTGATTGAGAAGTTAATATGTTCAGACAGTGCACTGATCCTGCTACATAAATTCTTTCATCTAATCCTCAGAAAATTCTACAAAATAGACACTATCATAATTTCCACTTCATAGATGAGAAAAGGAAGCTCAGTCACATGGTTAATTAGCCATGGAACAGGGATTCACAGCCAGGAACCCTGACTCCACTCTAGGCTGCTAGTTTCCTGAGTGCACAGATCATATCTGTGGTACCTCCAGGTCACCGTGGAGCTCAGCATAGGGCCTTGGAAATAGTATATACTTGATAAAGCCAGTGTTCAATGAGTGCAATGAATAAAGGAAATTAAAAAGAAGGAAAACAAAAAAGGGCGGGGGCAGAGAACATACAAAGCATCTGGCTAAAGTAAACATGGCCAGAAATAGTCAGTCTCATTAGGAACCAACCCAGGGTGTTGCTCAATTTGGGGAGTCCAAGGAAAGCCCCCACCAGCACTCCCTCTGTGCCAAACAGCATGGCAAAATCCCATTTGTTTTTCCCAGCCGTCCCAAAACTACATGCTCTGGCTAATGTCCAGATTTGCTGCTCATTTCTCCATTCTGTCTCTTGACATAGGAAATGGAAGGGAACAGATATGTATTGAGTATCTCCTATATGTCAGGTGTTATGTGAGTGAATTCACAGATTGCCTCACAGAGAATGGATAATTACTCCCATTTTTACCGATGAGAAAACTGAGGCTCAGGCATGTGAACTGACTGCCCCTTGCTTGTAGTGTAGTATTACTCTAACTCAGGCGAGGGCCCCCACATTCTCTTTTGTGCATTCAAGCCTATTAGGGCTGTTGTGTTCAGTTGTATAAATTGTGCACTGCACAGTCCTAGGGTGTGACATTCATGTTGAGGTCTTGCGAGTGCTGGCCCTTCTTTTTCTTCCTGTAAAGGTCCCTTTCATAGTCCTCACCCACTCAACTAATCAATGTTGTATCTTCCAGGAAACCGCCTTGAAGAAGGACACTGACTGTATGCTAATATAGCCCCCAGGGATCTTTGTCTGACCTAAGCCACTCCCCGCAAGGGTCCTAGTGACTGGGCCTAGCGACCTTGGTCCCCAGCCAGCCATCCTTTGCCTTGTCTGGGACTCCTCTCCTTGCAGGTCCTCTGCACAATTCAATCTAATCTCCCAACAGATATTTTCCCTTGCTGCCTCTAAACTCACCATCCTGAGTTCAACCCAAGGAGGCTGTAAGAGTTTTCACTGCCCTGGTGCACACAAAAAGCTTATCACTACACAAACTGACAAACATCATCTCCATCCACAGGTACGAGGGACCATCTGGTGTCTCTTGACCCCTTTTCTGCCTCCTTCCTGGTTGGTTCTCCTGGAAATATCCCCCTTTCCTACTGTGTCTCTTCTATTTTCTCATCTGCTCTTCTATGGGTTTTCTTTGCCAACTTTATGATCCCCATGGCTGCTCCCCTTCTAGCTACCCCTCCCAGGTCCAGGAAACCCAACTGGACAGGGGACAAGGAGAGGCTTAAGCCACAGAGAAGCTAGACTCACAGGATCTCAGGGATGGAAGGAGCCCTTGGCTGATCTGGTTCATCTGAGCTCCACTCTCTTCCTCGTCAGCCTTACTGTGCCCCTCTGCAACTACCCCACCTGGGACAGGAGACCCTGACCTTGCGCTGACCACATCCACAGCCTGAACCAGCCCCTGTTTCCCCATGCCCAACTTTCTCCTCTGTGCCCTTGATTGCCCCAGGAACCTGGTAGAAGTGAGGACAATTCTGGGCACATGGCCCCACCACTGGACCTGCAGCCCATCAAAATGGCTGGGGTTTCCTCTCTCTGGAGGTCACATGGCTGCCTGGCCAGCTCCTTTGAATTGCACAACTGGATGCCTCAGACCCATCCTCAGATGCTACAAGCTGGGACATCTACAGGGCTCTGAGGTCTGGACCAGATTGTTTTTCCCCAAAAGGAAAGAAGCAGGGAGAGAGCAAGGCATGGAGATAATGCACTGACCCCAGCTCGCCAGCCATAAGCCCCTCCTCCTCACATTTGCACTCTTTGTTTACCTCATCAAGAATAACCAACAGGAGGCACTGGGAGGAGCAAGTGTAAGTTAGTCCTCTCCACCGCTTTCCCACAGTCTAAGTTTTGATCTGAGGATCAGATCTGAAAGGGAATTCAACATCTCCTAGTCAAACCATACCCCCTTTTTATAGGTGGGAGCAGTGCATCCCAAAGACCACAGAACTGTCCCACGTGAGTCCTTCACACTGAGAATCCTGACTAAAGTTCTATCTGCTGCCCCTACTGTTAGCAAGCCTGTCCAAGCCATCAGCCATTGACCTAAAGTTCATTTGGCGGGTGTTCAAGAAACAAGCTGTCTTGTGAGACTGATGCAACCACAGCTCTCCCAGGGGGGCTGTTTG